GGGTAACAATGCTGCTCCTCCAGAGAAATTGTAGGGTGAGTGTTCTACTGGTAGGACCACAAGATAAAAAAAGAAAACCAATGCAGCCACTCCTTAGTCTTTGGTTTTAGATACACTTTAATGCTTTCTGGGTTACTGAACCAAAATAGGTATGCATATCAGGACTCATGATTGCTTGTTGCAGGTCAGTGACTCAAAAAGTATTGAAACGCAAGATGTCAGGCAACTGGCCTCAGAAAAAACTCAGAAAAAAGTTACCAATGACAGTCCCTGTATTTCTCTAAGTACAGATTTCTTTTAATAAAGTAAACATGTAGCACCATCGCACAAATGCTGACCATGCACTGAGCAATCATGTTATCATTTCACATACATACAAATAAGTATGAATTGATATTATACACATAAAATGCTTGACATAAATTGATAACATTCATATACATCAGGTATCACTGTATGGCGGTCTGGATGTCGACCTAACCACTGTTTCATCAGGACCCAATCACGCCATTTAGGAGCTACTTCTTTCCCCCCATCTTCCACCGCTGTTATAACAGCAGAGCGGACAGCAGGAGACAGAACATTTATGGAGCAAATGTTGAATAACAGCACAGAATTGAACAGATCGCGGGGCGGGAGCTGTCATAACATTTCTGGTTCGGATGTGGGAAGCACAATACAGCATTGAATAGAGTGCGAGATCTGCTGAGGTTAAGTTTTTAAGTTAAACAGTGGCTGATTGGAAGCAGGGCAGTGCTAGCAACCAATCACTTGCTGGGTGATACAAAAGTTGATCCCTGTAGCTCCCGCACTATCCAATGCTGTGCTTCCAGAAATGTTATGACAGCCCCCGCACTCTGTTCAATACTGTGCTGTTATTCCGCACTCGCTTCAGAAATGTTCTGTCTCCTGCTATCCGCTCTGCTGTTTTAACAGCGGCGGAAGATGGGGGGAAAGAAGCGGCCCTGTTCAATGATGTGCTGTGCTTCCCACACCCGATCCAGAAATGCTCCGCCTCCCACTCTAGAAGAGTGAAGGGGGGCCGGGGACACTACCCTGGCTGTGAGTGTGATGTAAAGGGGGGCAAAATGTGAAGAGGAGCAGTGCTGTGTGCATATGGTGGTGGTAGGGGGTTGATGTAAAGGGGGTAGTGCTGTGAAGGGGTGATGTAAAGGGGAGATTTGTGATGTGAGGAGGGGGCATTGCTGTGGAGAGGGAGATGTAAAGGGGGGGAAGTGTTGTGGTGGGGGGATGTGAAGGGGCAGAGGACAGTACTGTGGGGTTGATGTGAGGAGAGTAGAGTATACAACTGTGGTGGGATGTGAAGGGGGCAGTGCTGTGTGTGCAGAGGGGTTGATGTGAAAAAGGGGGGATTTGTGACATGAGGGGGGGGGCAGTGCTGTTGGGAGATATGTAGTGGGGCTACTACTGTGGGGAGGGGGATGTAAAGGGGGGCAGTGTTGTGGGGGGATGTGAAGGGGGCACAGTTCTGCTGGGGATTATGTGAAGAGGATAGTAGTATGGGGGAGAAATGTGAAGGAGGCAGAGGACAGTAGTGTGGGGCGGGGGTGATGATGTGAAGGGGGGTTGAGGACTGCTGAAAATAATGGGATTTACTGTAAAGAGGTGGGTGGGGGTGATGTGCAGAGGGCCTGAGAACACTACTGTGAAGGTGAAACTGATTTGAAGCTGGGGACTGTGATGTATGGGGGGGGGGGCTGAGAACACTGAAGTATAGAGAATGTGATATACAGTAGGAGAAGGCTAAAAAAAATGCAGTTCGGACCTCTGTTGGAAGAAAATGTTACTGGTCGGACCTCCATGAGTTTTAATTCAGTACCCCTGATATACACTGTATAATAACCAGTTCCTTACCGCGCTATATAGCTGAAGGATGGGTACAGCGTGGTTGTCTTGTTCTGGGATGACGCCCATAAACATCATTACAGAACACGGCCCCTGCACGCCCCCAATGGTGCACACCCGGCGCCGCCAGTGATCGCTGTGTCCTACAGACACAGCTGATCACGTGATATGGTAAATGGCCAATTACAGCGGACTTTTACCACGTGATCAGTTGTGTCCAATGACACAGCAGATCACCGGATAAATACAGTTGGCGGTTATCTGCTGCACTTTCCTCACGCTGTCACAGCGTGAGGAAAGTACTACCGATAACCGGCAATTGTCAGAGAAGTGATCGTCACTAATCATCAGTGATGATTAGTACCCAGCAGTGCCACCCACCTGTGCCCAGCAGTACCACCCACCTGTACCCATCAGTGCCACCCACCTGTGCCTTGCAGTGCCGCCCAGCAGTGCCGCCCAGCAGTGATGCCTATCAGGGCAGCATTATCAGTGCCAGCTCATGAGTGCCGACTATCAATTCCGACTATCAGTGCCGCATATCCGTGTCCATCAGTGCTGCCTATCCATGCCACCTCATCAGTGCCCATCAGTGCTGCCTATCAGTGCAGCCTCATCAACGCACATCAGTGAAGTAGAAGAATTACCTGTCTGCAAAATTTTATAATAGAAACAAAAAAAAAAAACTTTATTTTTTCACATTTTTTGCTTTTTTTGTTTATAGCGCAAAAAATAAAACACGCAGTGGCAATTAAATACCACCAAAAGAAAGCTCTATTTGTGTGAAAAAAATGCTTAAAATGTAATATGGGTACAGTGTTACATGACCGCTCAATTGTCATTCAAAGTGTGACAGCGCTGCAAGCTGACAATTGGCCTGTAGGCAAGTGGTTAAAAGTAAATTTAAAAAAAGAAAAAAAAGATAGTAATCCAAATAGATCTGCATCATTTATTGTACTATTTACTGTTGTGGTAGTTGTATAGGCTCAAGGTTTTTTACCTTCATGCATTCTATGCATGAAGGTAAAAAATTTTTTGCATGCAGCAGTGCCCCCAGCCCCTCAATACTTACTTGAACTCCATCAACATCCAAAAATGTGCACGACAGCCTTAGATGTCCCGGGTCTCTGCCTCCTCATTAGCTGAGATAGCAAGCAGAAGCTATTGGACACAAGGAGCAGTGGGTGCCCCTTTAGCAAGCTGCATCCGACAGAAATGAGGAGCCAAGAGAGCCTGTGGGTGACCCGAGAAGAGAAGGAACCAGACTGCTCTGTGCAAAACCAGTACACAGAGCAGGTAAATATAACATGTTTGTTATTTTACAAAACCCCCCCAAAAAAAAGAACCTTTAGTATCACTTTAAGCATAAATCTTTTTAGTCCTGAAATCAAATAAGCAAGTCAGAAAAGGAGTATAAGATCTAAAATGTGTTATATATTGTATCTAGAAACAATCTGCTCTTTCACAGCCGTAAATGGCTATATTATCTAATACTGGAAATTCCCAAAAGGTAACACTTTGACACTATTGGCTTTATAAAATTGGTTTAGTAAAATAAATACATGCTCCCAAGTGCTGCCTTTATTGAAGATACACCATGCTGCCTGGAAGCAGAAAAAATACACATACAGAAAAACAGAATTCCTGCAGCTGCACAAAAAGCACACAAGAAGCAATCTGCACTTATCATGTTTTCAAGTATATGATTTCCATTTTGTAAGAATATGGACCAACTGTCGTTTGGATGAGGTTAAAGGTTGAAAGTGCAGGAAGTTAAAAGTGCATTTGTGGCACTTTTTTTGGCCTTATGGTTGTATTAGAAAGTCCTGTGCCAATTCAATGATAGCTGTGCGACGGCTTTGTTGCTATTTCTGACATGTGCAACAAAATCAGGTAGACAGGTTTACATTGTGTTGTATGTCGCTATGGCTGTGCCAAATTCATCAAGAAAAACCACCTTATCTGTGAAAAGAAAAGTGGAGACCTCTTCCATGTTGGAGTAAATTGTGTTACACATATAAGTATTGTGGAACAGAAAAAAGTCTGCCTACGGCAATTCTACAATGATTTAAAGTGCATCTTACTGAGAGTCGCATGAATTTGAGGAGCTGTTCTATTTGTTGCACAGATGGGAGACAGATCACTAATGAGTGTCTAATCATAGTCTAGAACTCTTTATGAATTCAAGGTTAGGTCACACCTATGTAGATTGCGTTTAAGACATTTCTGCATTGCGTTTTCCGTTGCATTTTATATTTTTGCACTTGCGTTTTTTACGCATTTTTGCCACGTTTTTTATGTTTTGGTTTTTATTTTTAATTTTTCTTGTTGCTAGGCATATTTAAAACGCAAAACCCATGCAAAATTCAGCAAAAACGCAATACATGCTTTTCTACAGCATTCCCATTGAAGTCTATATACCAAAAACGCAGCATTTTCCATTAAAAAAATTCCCTGACCCTTTCCAAAAAATACAGCATGTGAAAACACAGAGATGTGAACCTGTCCCATAGGAAATCATGTTAAATGGACTGTACTGCATTTCTGTTAAACGCGGCAAAAAACATTTAGGTGTGAACCTAGGGTAAAATGTTGCCTCTAACAATCAATTAACCACTAGCCTACAGGGCACTTATACCCCCTTCCTGTCCAGGCCAATTTTCAGCTTTCAGTGCTGTCACACTTTGAATGACAATTGTGCGGTCATGCAACACGGTACTCATGAAATTTTTATCAGAGATAGATAGAGTTTTCCTTTGGTAGTATTTAATCACCTCCTGGGTTTTTAATTTTTTTGCTAAACAAACCAAAAACAACTGAAAATTTAGAAAAAAAAAAAACGTTTTTTTTCTTAGTCTTTGTTATAAAATTTTGTAAATAAGTGATTTTTCTCCTTCATTGATGTGTGCTAATGAGGCTGCAGTGATGGGCATTGATAGGCTGCACTGATGGGCACTGATAGGTGGCACTGATTGGCACTGATGAGGAGGCACTGGTCGGTGGCACTGATAGGCATTGACAGACATCACTGATGGGCACTGAAAGGCAGCACTCATATATGGCACTAATAAGCAGCACTGTTAGGCGGCACTGACTGGCACTGTTAAGTGGCACTGACAGGCACTGATAGGCGGCACTGATGCACAGTGATAGGTAGCACTGACTGGCACTGATAGGCGGCACTGTTTGGCAGCACTGATAAGTGGCACTGACTGGCACTGATATGTGGCAATGAAAGGCAGCTCAGATGGGCACTGATATGTGGCATTGATGTGCACTGTGTGGCACTGATGGGCACTGGCAGGTGGCATTGATGAGCACTGACAGCTGGTATTGATGGACACTGACAGGTAGCATTGCTGGGGCTACACTGATCATCAGGGCACACTGATCATCAGTGCCCTGATGATCAGTGTACATGTCCCCTCTGAGGAATGCCAATTACCGGTTCTTCTTTCCTCTTGAGCTGTCAGTGTGACAGCTCGTGAGGAGAGAAATGCCTATAACCAGCATTTCCTTATTTACATGCAATCAGCTGTGATTGGACACAGCTGATCACATGACCAAGCCGACATCTTTGACTCTTTCCATTGATTGGTGATCCGTTGTGTCCGAGGGCACCCCCCCAGAGCCACGCACGCACGGTTAGAGTGGGAGGACGTTATATGACGTCCTGCCAGAACGAGAGAACCGCATTGCACCCGTCATTTCCTTATATGGCTCGCGGTAGGCGGCTAAAGGCAGCCTCTAGTTTTCTATGCGTTGTACGTGGAAAACCCCTGATTTGCTAGGTTATATTTAATTTCTAACCAGTTAAAGTGGAACTTAAGTTGAAAAAAAAAATGCGAACAGGCAGACTCTTTTTTGCATGCAATGTCTCTTCTGCAATAAAATGCACTTACCTGCCTATGCGCAAACCTCTGTAGAATATACACTGAGCTGCGCATGCACAGCTCATTTTAAATGCCGGAACACTGCCTGTGATGTCATACTGCTCTGGCCAATCTAGACAGCCCAAGACCAGCTCCCAGAAGAAGCAGGGGAGAAGATGATTGTGGCAAGGAACCTTGTGGTTATTGAACCATTGGAACTAAGGTATGTATGTTTGCCTTTGGTTCTGTTTAATATATATGTACCTTTTTAATGTTAGCTTTGAAATAAGTAAGGAATGTTTGTTGGCTTTGTTTAATTGTTAATAAAGACCCTTTTGTAACAGCTGAATTAAATAATATAGAAATAAAAATAATTAAAACACCTTTAAATGTTTTTTTTTACGGTTTCTGTCTCAATATGGAAATTTTCCTTTACATTAGTGTTGAAAAGAATGTAGAAAAATTTTCCCTCTATTCCTGTTCTAATAACAGCTCAAAATTTTGGACTTTTTCCCACTTTCAGTCCCAGTGACAATGGTCACCTGGACAAAAAGAGAGGATGAATTTATCCAATTGGGACACAGACAGCAAAACAAAAAAAACCCTTCTCCACGCTATCTGATACAAATTAAAAAAAAAATAAAGATAATATGAAGGGTTAATAGTGCAATATAAAAGTAAGGGGATGACAACTTCCTGACACGCCTCTTGAGAACCTCTATAGGATGAAACGCCTTGTCAGAGCGGGCTAGGAAGTGACATCATCCCACACGCTACACCCAGAAGTGACATAATGTGTGAGCACCCAGATATGGCAGAGTTCCCCTTTAAACTCTAACACTTCTAGCAGCCTGTGTTTGTAAAAGCAAGGTTTTGAGCTCATTTTACCCCCTTCCTTATTTCCTCTGAATAATATGTACCAGCTTGTAGTTAGCACCCAGATCTGCAGCTGCTGTTCAAGGTTATATTTTGCAGAGTTTAGAAAGACTTTTGAGTGTATAGAAAGTGAAAGAAGGAATGTATGCATTGTGATGTAATCATTGGTATATACACTTGTAAGAAGTAGATACAAATCACTCGGCTTTGCAGGCATGAGCCCGACTGGGTCAAAGCAGCGCTGTTTTTAATAAATCACTTGTTTTCCTCAAAAGTCTGTGTCCTGCGTTATCTGGTTTGCCAAAATTGCTACTACAGTAGTACACCTGGGACGGAGCTATTCCACACAATTTTGGAGTGGACATCCGAGGTATTTATGTGATCATATCTACATGTGAATTTATCCTGGTGCTGGGTTAGCACTTCACTTGTGAGTGGACTATATTGTTTTAACATAATAAAGGTGCTTTAAGTTCTCCCTCTACTTCCTCTTTTATGCGGTATCCTATATGTGGCTGGAAAATAAGTGGAACATCTAATCTTAGGATGTGGGTGGATGATGACATATAAATCAGGTTTAACAAGCTCATTAGGACTTACCTGTAGTGGGTGGTCATATCTATCTGGTGCGTTCTCTGTGTTGGTGGTGGGGGATCACTGGAAAATAGCATAAGAACACAAGGTTGTGTTTTTCTGAAGACTGCATGGAAGCACCTTTTGAATATAATCTACTGCACAGACATTTTATGTTAGCCACATGGTGGCATAGAATATATCATTTAGTGGACTTTCCTATTATTTAATAATTGCCCTCAATGTTTTTATGTTCTTTTTTTTTTGTTTTCTCTAGATACACCTTGATTGCACTTTATTTCTAACACACGGTGCTGTAAGCATTTTATGGAGATTGATACATTTCCAGTATGCTCCTTTTAATTGGCCTTATTTAATATCAATAAATGACCTGGCTATCCTGCTGTTTTTCCATGTATGGCCTCATTTCCAGGCCAACAATACTATAAAGCTGCTATTTATTGGGTTATCCCTCCAAAGTTGTTGGGAAGCTGTGCCACCTCACTGTGAGTGCAAAAGATCTGCACAGCTGCAATGCTTCTTCAATTGCACATGTGCTGGATTTGTCAGATTCACCTTTGGCTTTGCTTAGTTTGGATGGGTATTAGTTCTTCCACTCCCTCCCCACTCTGCTAATGAAAGGAATCTCTGCCTGTGGCTCATCAGAAAGGGGAAGAATTGTGGTCATGTGACCACAAACAAATACTAAATATAAAGATATTTCAATGACAATCTAGTCAGAAATGAACATCAGAGACCTGCAAACCAATCATATGGGTATTATTTAGGTTGCTGATCAGAAGTTGACTTTCCAACTACTTTAAAGGATAACTCCACTTTCGTGGAAAAAAGAATATAGCAAATAAAAATATAATTTAGCATATGCAATTGTTACACAAGTTAAGTAATTGAATGTTATTAAAAATTACCTTTGCTTTTCAATCTATAGCCCCAGTAAATTTCTGTAAACTTCAATGCAATATGGCAACAACCTGAAAGGTTTCTGTACGTCACTTCTGGGTGTAGCGTTGGTGAACAGAACTCCCCCAGAAATGCCATTTCCTGCTTGTGTGATTGGCTCATTGATTTTTCCAAATATCTGCACTAAGTGGAATTTTAGTCCTCCACTGCAATAAAAATTTTAGTTTTGGTTAGATGCTCCCCAAGGGATGCAGACATCTTTTCTGCACCAGATGATTATAATGAACCAAATCCTCCCATTCAGAATCAGTATCCAAAGATCATAAAGGAACAAACCATTATTTCTTCAGAGCAGAAAACAGTAGGAATCTGATACAAAGTTTGGTAAAATCTTTGAAATGTACATTGATCACCCAGAGAGGGATTTTTTTTTTATTCAACAAAAGTGAAGTTACTCTTTAAAGTGATCGTAAAGGATCTTTTTTTTATTTTAAATTACAAAAATGTTCTACTTACCTGCTTTGTGCAATGGTTTTGCACAGAGCAGCCTCGATCCTCCCCTTCTGGGGTCCTCGGCTGGCACACTTGTCTCCTCCTGCCATCCGAGTGCCCTCCTAGTGACTGCTTGCTAGGGGTGCACTCAAGCAGCCTCGATTCTGAGCTGCACTGTGTGCGTCAATTAACACAAACAGAGGGGCTCTACCCCACCTATGCACAAACATAGCAGTACATCAGGCAAATCTATTCAACCCGCCAACCCCTTGAGAATGTCCCATTGGATGAAATGCATTGGGGCAGAGCCTGTGCTGACGTCATCATGCCTGCCAAGTCAGTGGCAGTGTAGGAGAGATTTTGTATACCTGATGTACTATGTTTGTTAGTAGATGTATAAACATTTACCTTCCTTAAACAGCATAACGTTTTACACCATGGGCTGCCATTTGTTCTCTCTTGCTGGATGTATGTATGACTGGTGTAAGGGAAGTGTTCTATGTGGTCCTGTGACATTTCCTGAGACCCCTGGTCCTTAAAGGCACCCTGCTACTATAGTCCCTGCCGATGTGCTGTGAGCTTCTTTGTGCACCTGATGACAACTGAATTCCTAAGGATGAGAGCTTACTGAGACCACCTATAATTTGGGGTTTTAGGAGTCGGTAAGCGGTTGTGTGTGGTGATGGAAGTCAGTGGGGGAGATACTGGATATTATTTTTACATTGGCATTTTTTTCTTTTATTTTTCACTGAAGGTGGACAACTGTGATTTTTGTAGTATATGCACAGACAATAATGTTAATGTTATGATTATTGCATGATTACTGTTTACCTAAAGGTATAGCACATTCAAAGGGTGCACATCTTTCAAATATTATGTTATTTATTTAAAGAGATAGAATCACATTTTAAAGATACAGCACAACAATATTTATAATTGCACTAATTCACTATGCTCATATTATTCCACAATATCCTGAGGATGACACAGAGAATCTAGGTTTCATTATAGCATATTGTACATAAGGGCTCACATAGACGCCGTGTGGTCACATCTTGTACTGCAAGACAACGTACAGGTGTGCACAGGTGAACAAAAGGTACTCCACATTGCTGCTGCAGGAAGAGGAAAGGTCATATCCATTACAAGAACTTCCACAACACAGGCAACTGCTCGTAAATACACAGAAGTCTAATCTGCACTGGGCACTATGAACAACACCACATGTTTTCTGTTTTCTAGTGAACATGTTGTTACAATTTTGTTTGCTGCAAATAGCAAGGGAATGAGCAAAAGGGAAATTGTCATTGATTGAGCATTAAACTCGGATTAATGCATAATTGACTTAAAAGTTCTGAACATAATTTTAGGATAAAAACAAAGTTATGTTCAAAATCTAATCCAAAACATAATCGCCATTGATTCAGCTTTTAACATAATGCTTATTAAATACAGCAAAATCATCTTTTATAAATGAAAGGATAGGTTCTATTATATAAACTAACAAACTACAAGTCTGTTCTGTTATTATGTAAGGTTTGATTTTTGACTTTCAGACAGAGGGAGGCTCCCTGGAATTCATAAAGAACGTCATAGACACAACAAATGCTGGTGACAGATTTATGTACGTGGTGGAAACAGGAATTTGAATTTGTTTCATACTGAACACTCTATTCTAAGGCCCCATTCACATGTGGTAATGTGGAGGCTCCTGCAGAATTGCCATGATTCTGCCCGCGATTCCAAATTGCGGTAACATCGCTGTAAATTTTGCGACATATGTTTAGGTGTCATTCTTTTTTAATGGCACCCCAAATACGGTGCAATTTTGCTGCAATTGTCATGAAACAGAATATTATGGATTTAGGTGCAAAGGAGTAGGAGCTTCTTTGAGGTGACAAACGCACATAGGGCAGCCCATTGAAGTGAATGGGTTGCTTATGTGCAACACACAGAAACGCGTGTATATTGCTCTTTAAAAATCATGAGCGGGCCTCAGAGCAGCTCTGCAGGCTACATTCACATGTATATTTGTATCTAACAGCAGTTAATTGCACTGTAATCTGCACTTGAAAGAGTTGGAATATTTCTTGCAAATAGTTGCAGTTTGCAAATGAGTTTACCTGCGTTTAGGAGCATCAGCGTTTTCAAGCATTTTTCCTCAATACTCCATTCTTGGGGGGGGGGGTTATACCCCAGGCACCTCCTATTCCTCTTTGTGGGTAGTTTTCTGAGCAAGGAGATAGAGCTATGCAATTGAAATGGAGTACAGAGCAAAGCTGCTGTTTACCATTGTGTGCCAGCTTGAGAGGAGAAGATTAAAGGCTGGTTCATATGGGGATCACCACATTCCTGTGTGGTGTGGTTTGACAGCCAATGCAAATCGCACCGGAATGCAGAAAAAGTAGTGCATGCAGTACTTTAAAAAATGCATCGCGCCAAACTGTATGGTACTGCAGTACCATGAAATTTGGTGCCCGCAAACGCATTGTATTCTGTGATTTGGGGTGCCATTAACAATACATTGGCACTAGCATGTAGATCGCAAGGGTAGTGCTATCACGTGAGGTGTGGGAAACGTGCACGGATTGAGCATTTCCCACACCGCTTTATGGTGTGAACTGGCCCTGAGGCAGAGAGAAAGGCAACTAAAATGAAGATGGGCACATCCACTAAAATCCTAGGATCTAACTAGGGGATATTTTGTCCTGATGTATTTGAAAATCAGAACCTATCCCAATATTTTTTACAACCTTACCAGAATGTCAGTGTCATTTGACAGCTTACTATTGTTAAACCACATCTATTATTATTGATTTATTATAGGTACATATATATATATATATATATATATACATACACAGGTGTAAAAAAAAACAAGCACCTAGGCATGTAGACTGCTTCTATAAACATTTGTGAAAGAATGGGTGGCTCCCAGGAGCTCAATGAATTCAAGCGTGGTGCTGTGATAGGTTGTCACCTGTACAGTAAGTCCATCCCTGAAATTTCTGTGAATTTTCCTTGTTACTAAATATTCCATGGTCAACTGTTACTGGTGTTATAACAAAGTGGAAGCAACTGGGAACAGCAGCAAATTAGCCACAAAGTGGTAGGCCACGTAAAATGACAGAGCAGGGTCAGCGCATGCTGAAGCACACAGTGCAGAGAAGTCACCAACTATCTGCAAAGTCAATAGTTAAAAACCTCCAAACTTCATGTGGCCTTCAGATTAGCACAAAAGCAGTCCATAGAGAGTGTCATGGAATACATTTCCATGGCTGAGCAGCTGCATCCAAGCCTTACATCACCAAGTGCAACGCAACATGTTGGATGCAGTGGTGTAAAGCACGCCACCACTGGGCCCTAGAGCAGTGAGGATGAGTTCTCTGGAGTTTTTATTCACTCTTCTCTGTGTAGCAATCTGATGGACGTGTCTGGGTTTGGCAGTTGCCAGGAGAACGGTACTTGCCTGACTGCACTGTGCCAAGTGTAAAGTTTGGTGGAGGGGGGGATTATGGTGTGGAGCTGTTTTTTCGGGGTTGAGCTTGCCCCTTAGTTCCAGTGAAGGGAACTCTTAAAGCATCAGCATACCAAGACATTTTGGACAATTTCATGCTCCCAACTTACTGGGAACAATTTGGGGATGGCGCCTTCCTTTTCCAACATGACTGCACAAAGCAAGGTCCATAAAGATAGGGATGAGCGAGTTTGGGGTGGAGGAACTTGACTAGCCTATACAGGGCCCTGACCTCAACCCGATAGAACACCTTTGGGATGAATTAGACCAGAGACTGCGAGACAGTCCTTCTGATCCAACATTATTGCCTAACCTCACAAATGTGTTTCTGGAAAGATGGTCAAACATTCCCATAGACACACTCCTAAACCTTGTGGACAGCCTTCCCAGAAGAGTTGAAGCTGTTATAGCTGCAAAGGGTGGGCCAACTCAATATTGAATCGTACGGACTAAGACTGGGGTGCCATTAAAGTTCATGTACGTGTAAAGGCAGGTATCCCAATACTTTTGGCAATATAATGTATACAGTGTATATATATATATATATATATATATATATATATACATACATACATACATACATACAGGTGAAACTCAAAAAATTAGAATATTGTGCAAAAGTTCATTTATTTCAGTAATGCAACTTAAAAGGTGAAACTAATATATGAGATAGACTCATTACATGCAAAGCAAGATAGTTTGAGCCGTGATTTGTCATAATTGTGATGATTATGGCTTACAGCTCATGAAAACCCCAAATCCACAATCTCAGAAAATTAGAATATTGTGAAAAGGTGCAATATTCTAGGCTCAAAATGTCCCACTCTAATCAGCTAATTAAGCCATAACACCTGCAAAGGGTTCCTGAGCCTTTAAATGGTCTCTCAGTCTGGTTCAGTAGGAATTACAATCATGGAAAAGACTGCTGACCTGACAGTTGTGCAGAACACCATCATTGACACCCTCCATAAGGAGGGAAAGGCTCAAAAGGTAATTGCAAAAGAAGTTGGATGTTCCCAAAGTGCTGTATCAAAGCACATTAATAGAAAGTTATGTGGAAGGGAAAAGTGTGGAAGAAAAAGGTGCACAAGCAGCAGGGATGACCGCAGCCTGGAGAGGATTGTCAGAAAAAGACCATTCAAAAGTGTTGTGGACTTTCACAAGGAGTAGACTGAGGCTGGAGTCAGTGCATCAAGAGCCACCACACACAGACCGATCCTGGACATGGGCTTCAAATGTGGTATTCCTCTTGTCTAGCCGCTCCTGAACAACAAACAACGTCAGAAGCGTCTTACCTGGGCTAAAGAAACACAGACCTGGTCTGTTGCTCAGTGGTCCAAAGTCCTCTTTTCTGATGAGAGCAACTTTTGCATCTCATTTGGAAACCAAAGACCCAGAGTATGGAGGAAGAATGGAGAGGCACACACTGCAAGATACTTGAAGTCCAGTGTGAAGTTTCCACAGTCTGTGTTGATTTGGGGAGCCATGTCATCTGCTGGTGTTGGTCCACTGTGCTTCATTAAGTCCAGGTCAACGCAGCCGTCTACGAGGAGATTTTGGAGCACTACTTCATGCTTCCTTCCGCAGACAAGCTGTATGGGGATGCTGACTTCATTTTCCAGCAGCAGATGGCACCTGCCCACACTGCCAAAAGCACCAAAACCTGGTTCAATGACCATGGGATTACTGTGCTTGATTGGCCAGCAAACACGCCGGACCTAAACCCCATAGAGAATCTATGGGGCATTGCCAAGAGAAAGATGAGAGACATGAGACCGAACAATGCAGAAGAGCTGAAGGCCGCTATTGAAGCATCCTGGTCTTCCATAACACCTCAGCAGTGCCACAGGCTGATAGCTTCCATGCCACGCCGCATTGAGGCAGTAATTGTTGCAATTGGGGCCCAAACCATGTACTGAGTACATATGCATGCTTATACTTTTCAGAGGTCCGATATTGTTCTATGCACAATCCTTGTTTTATTGATTGCATGTAATATTCTAATTTTCTGAGATTGTGGATTTGGGGTTTTCATGAGCTGTAAGCCATTATCATCACAATTATGACAAATCACGGCTTGAACTATCTTGCTTTGCATGTAATGAGTCTATCTCATATATAAGTTTCACCTTTTAAGTTGTATTACTGAAATAAATTAACTTTTGCACGATATTCTAATTTTTTTAGTTTCACCTGTATATACATATACACATATAGTACATTAGTCCCTAACCCTACAATCTAAGATCCCTAACTCACATTCATACATACACATACTAGGACCAATTTAGACAGGAGCCAATTAATCTACCATCATGTCTTTGAAGTGTGGGAGGAAACCAGAGTATCCAGAGGAAACCCACGTAGGCACAGAGAGAACATGCAAGCAACCCTTGTGATGCCAGGTGGAAAAGCTAACCATTTAGCCACTGTGCTTCACATCTGCAAAGAATGAATACCAACACAAAAATGTATGACAACCAACATGAGAAGGAATACCAACATTTCAGGAAGAAAAGGGGAAGATCATAATTTTCTGCTGCTAAATTCAACGCAGCTAACTGCAGCTAAACGCAATGGGGTTGATTTACTAAAGGCATATAGAATGTACACTTTGCAAAGTGCAGTTGCATTCTGCAAGAGCAATTGCTTCAGAGCTTAGTAAATGAGCATTGGCTCTGCTGTTCTCCATCATTCAATCATGTGCAAGCAAAAATGTTGTTGTTTTTTAATTTATTTTCCTTGCATGTCATTGGTTATTCTTTGAAAAGTGAACATTTACCTCATTTACTAAGCTCTGGAGCAACTGCACTTGCAGAATGCACCTGCACTTTACAAAGTGCATAGTCTATTTGGCTTTAGTAAATCAACCCCATTGCGTGATTAGCTGCTGATAGGAATGAAAACTTGACCCTGGATGCTACCTAAACGCAACTATACTGTCTGCAACTAAATGTTGCTAATGATTATGTATGAATAACATGACCAGGGGCGGTCTGACCATTTGGAAACTTGGGCACTGCCCGAGGGCCCGAGGTCAGTAGGGGGCCCCATGAGGTGCCCCTGGTACTTTTTTCATAGGCTTTTTTGAGTTTGGGCAAGGACACAGGGGCCCCATGATCCCCTATTGCCCGGGGTCCCATGAGTTGTCAGTCCACCCCTGAACATGACTTTGCAATATGTAAATCTAGCTGCTTGTAGAAAAGTCTTCTAAGCATAGCTAAACTCTAAAATCGAGATGTCCATGTGAATGTAGCCAAACATTGAGCTCCCTGCTGGCCACTGCGCCCATCACACAGACAGGTGCAGCAGCCATGGAGTTTTGCTGTTGGGTGGCTGGAGCCTGATAGAAATTCTGGGATAAGTTCTCCATCAGGTCCACATCCCTTGAGATTGACAGCAGACCAACTTTCACATTCTGTACTGCACCCTTCATCACCTGGGCAAACTTTGAAAGTTGATGAGGGAAATAAAAACAAGTCTGCAGTGCTAGCCGCTAATTGAAGGTTTATTACCAAGGAGAGATGCTAACAAAAGCAGCAAACAGCAGAAGCCTTGATATATTTTACACACATTATAGCTCGCCACACAGCTATAATTAGACCATACATGATGTTTAGCATGGATAGGAGAATCAAAACAATTCTCTCATTCTGACTTTGGGGCTGCATTAGAGAAATCCAATAGTGTTTGGAAAATTTAAAATATTATATCACATTTGCAGAATAAATGTGAAAATGAATTAGCACTGGACACCCCCCCCCCCCCCACCACTGTACTTACCTCTGAGGTTTCCAAGCTGACAGCACCCCAAAGCTGTTCCAGCAGTCTGGGGATTTGAAATCTCTTCTCCGCAGGGGCGGACTGACAACTCATGGGGCCCCTTGGCAATAGGGGATCATGGGGCCCCTGTGTCCTTGCCCAAACTCAAAAAAGCCTATGAAAAAGGTACCAGGGGCATCTTATGAGGCCCCCTACTGACCCTGGGCCCTCGGGCAGTGACCGAGTTTCCAAATGGTCAGTCCACCCCTGCTTCTCTGTGCAATGCTTCTGAAGCTGACCAGATCAATTCACTGTGACAGTGCTGACCAATCAGAACAGCTGCACAGTGAATCAGGAGATGAGTGGGGATTTCAAATCCGCGGAACACTGAAGTAGCTGTGGGGGCACTAACAGCTCAGCAACCCTTGGAGGTAAGTACAATGAGGACCTAGGAGGGGTGCGGAGAGTGCACAGCATTATTTCACCTTTTAAAGTAAGCACACCTAGAGAAAATACAAACAGACTAGAAAATATATATAAACTCCATACAGGCAGTGTCCTTGGAGTCCATCATTTTGGCACTGAAACCATTCAGCCACCATGCTTCTCAATGTGTATATAACCAAAGAATCCATCACAGCATGTCAGGAATTCTCTAAAGCCTGTTTTGTTTTGTATGATTGTGCATTTGCCGCATACAGCATCACGTATGACTATCAGGTGTCTGTAAAGAAGCCGATAGTTTTTTTTTTTCCCACTGAAGTCTGTTGAAAAGTTTGCAAGGTGAAGTAGATAAAATCATTCAGGTAGAGCAGGATGTAAAACAGGCTTGGGCCTGTACTAGCAGAAAGGTATTTCACTCACAGAGACACTTGCCTGTGGCAGGTGCAAAACCAGCCTGAATGAAGCAGAAAACTATGCCCAACCTGCAAAGATGTTAGAACATGTTTTCAGGCTATTTATTTCCTTAAATGCTTGGCGTTCTACCTGCTACCTAAAGACTCAAGACTATAGTGTG